AGTGGTAGAGCACTCGCCTTGAGCTGAAGAGCTGAGGGACAGCGCCCAGGCCCAGAGTTCAAGCCCCATGACCGACAAAAAAAAAAAAAAAGAAGAAGGAACGATGGGGTGTATATCCACTAAGCAAGGCAGAGTGAGTCTAGAGGTTTTATTCTACTCATACCCCCAAACTCCTTTAAAATGTTAGTTGTTTTTTTGTTTTTTAAGCCAGGCACTGGTGGTTCATGCCTGTAATCCTGAGATCTTAACCTGAGGTCTAAGGATTGTGATTCTAAGCCAGAGTGGGCAAGAAGGTCTGTGAGATTCTTATCTCCAATTAACCACCAGAAAACTGGAAGTGGTGCTATGGCTCAAAGCGGTAGAGCACTAGCCCAGGCAGAGTACCTAGGCCCTGAGTTCAAGCCCCATAACCATGGGGGGAGAAGAGAGAGAGAGAGAGAGAACGCCTAAAAGATAAAAATAGACCTTATTAAGATGTAATATTTTCCATTATATTTTAGTAAGACATAAAAGGAAAGACAGAATAAAAGAATGAAACTGTTCCAACAAACAACTAAGTGGGATAAAAGAAAGGAAGGTTACATTTTTAAAAAATAGAAAAAGTTTCCCCAGAATTGAAAGAGGGGGTCTCTCCCCAAGTGATAACCCATCACATGCCCACAAAGACCCCACTGTGAGTCAGTCACCACTGCAGAGAGAACCCACAATGGGAACACCCCTGGCCGTCTCAACATCACCACTGCGTGCCAGGAGACAACAGAATTGGTGGCCTCAAAAATCCAAGGAAAAGCGCTGGGAAGGTGGCTCAGTGGTAGAGTGCTTGCCTTACATGTGTGAGGCCTTGGGTTTGATTCCTCAGCAGAAAAAGCCGGAAGTGGTGCTGTGGGTCAAGTGGTAGAGTGCTCACTTTGAGCTGAAGAGCTGAGGGAGAGCGCCCAGGCCCAGAGTTCAGGCCCCATGACCGACCAAAAAACAAACAAACAAACAAAAAAAAAAAACAAGGGAAAATGATTTCCAACTAGAAATCACACAAGCTAAGCCAAGCAAGTAGAAGGTAAAGGTGAAGATGGCTGCAGATACACAGCATCTCAGAGAGCTTGACAGACATGCACCACCTTTGCCAAAGCTGCAGAAAGATGTGTCCCTGGAAATGAAGGAGTAAACAAGAGAGAGGACACAGAAGTACACCAGAGGCAAAGAAGATGTCCAGATGATGGAGAGGAAAATCTCAACCTGATCTAGAGAGTGCCATGGACAACTAGGACAATGTCCACAAATGAGCAAAACCACAAAAGGTCAGGTGGGCTAACATACCTAACTGCACTTGAGAACTTCTATCTTGCCAGAGATTCTGAAAGATAGGTTCATGAATGGAAAAACAAGGCCATGACTAACTCCAAGGAAAAGGGGCAGAAAAAGTCAAAATGAAAAATTAATTAAAGCATTATGTTTATACAGCTCAGCTAGAAGCAATATTCACAAAGTCAATGATAAACACTAACATAACCAAAACACTTCATGCAATTAAAGGAGCCTCCCTTATCTTCATGGGACACTTTCCAAAACCCCCAACATATACCTGAAACTACAGATTATTACCAACTATTATTACACACTTCCTACATACATCATGTACACCTATAATAAAGTATAGTAGTAAGATTAATAATAATAACTAACAATGAAATAGTATGTCTTTATAATATATACAATATTTATATTTTAATATGATACAATATATTAATAATATATTTCATAAATATAGACCTTATTAAGATGTCATATTTTTGATTATATTTTAGTAAGATGTAAACAAGCATTCCATTCTCTGTCTTTATTTTTGGTACTTTCACATTTTATGTGAAACATTCATCAGGAATGATATAAAAGCTGGAGCTAAGAGCTCTAGGCACTGAGTTCATTTAGAGTTGAGCGAGAGCAATTGCTTTGCCACCATGCTCAGTAGGGCTAGGCTGACAGGACCTGCCCTGGAAACAAAGGCTCTAGAATGAGAACCCCAGTCCTTACCCAGCTGCCACTTTCGAGAACACATGGTCTCCATCATCCAGATGGGCAAGGCGGGCTCTAGCATGGCAATCCCCATATTGGCAAAACAGATGGAGCCTTTAAGGGAAGAGTAAGGTTAGTGGGCTTCTGTTTCAGTATCGTGTGACCTTGACTGTCTCCAAACATAGTCATATGCCAATGCCCAGAGCTCAGCTATTAGAACTTCTACTTCCCTAAGAAAATGATCAGCGGCAAGCCCAAAGGATAACAATGGATGTTTATTCTAATCCTAAACAAGTAGAATCCCAGAGTGAGTTTGGAGCTGAGGAGAGCCTCAGCAGCCATCAGGTTTAACCTACCCAACTTAATAGAGAATAAAAGGAGCTCCATTTTGGGAGTGGAGGAAGCTGCTTGAGACACCCAGCAGCGGAGCCGTTTTTAGACCACACACATACTGAGGCAACTGAGGCTCTTGTAAAGATGTTTTCTCATGCAATGGGCACAGACATGTCTCATGGTACCCTGAGATGCCAGAAAATCCAAGGGTTGTGTTGCATATGGTACAAATGTACTACCCATATAGGATACCTATGCAAACATTATCACTCTGTCAAACAGACCCTTTATTAAAAAAAAAAATACAGCCACCTGGAAAAATACACACCAAACTGTCCTTTATCATTCTGGGAGCTTCCTGTGTTATGTTCTGTGGAACCTATAATTTGCTAGAACAAATTCAAAGAATATTGTACAGCTGGGAAGGTGTACACATAATGAAGCAAGGTTTATCATTCTCTGTGACATTTACAGGCAGAACACAGGAGTGACTGGGCTCTCTCCTCACCCACCTTGCTGCTAACCATCCCCCTCCCACCACCCACCACACCAAAAGCTGCGGCTAACTCTGCCAGTTAGTGTTTGGTACATCCTGATATTCCTTATATTCTGGCACTTCCCCTCAGCAGTGAGGGTCCTAAAAACCTAAGCTCGGGCTGCACAGACACGCCCAGGGGTCAAGGGGTCACATCTCTAGGACCCCATCCCCCACAATCCTCTCATCCCCAGCCCTGGGTTGCTACCTGCACCCTTAGGTCCCCATAGCACGATGAGGTTAAAGCATCAGTTTCTCCACCCTAAACAACTGTGTGTTACCCTCACCAAATCCATAGCACAAGGGTTTAAACACAGACAAACTGAAAGCTCTGATTAAAGCTGAATTTAGAGACCCTCAGCTAGGGCAGGGTCCAGGATTCCTAGGCACCCCTAGCCCTCCTGGATGCCATAGTGCAAGGCTGCCCAGGGAGCAGCCCACAGCCAGGCCCTCCCGATGCCAGGGCCACCACCAGCCCTAATACTCAGGCCCCAGAGGCTCCTGCACAGACTGGACCCTGGGAAAACAGCCACAGGCCTAGCAGGGAGGTGGCTCATGGTCACTGGGGACAGTGACTAGAGAGATAATAGGCCATTCTCTCTCCTTTCACAATCAAGAACCCAAAGGTTTAACCTATCCCCAAAGGATGCTTTGTAATAAGGAGAGCAATCTCTGGACCCTCTGGAGCTCAATTCTGAGTCTCTATTCATACATTCCCATTGGAATCAATACACACTCAAGACCCCTTCAGTGAAGGGGTCTTCTAGAAAGTTTAAGGCCAAACACGGATCACCTTTTAACACAGTCAGTGAGCAAGGTGAACTGAGACAGGGCCTCTTGTGGCATTGCATGAGCACTGCAGAGCACCATGCATGCCATTTATATTTACCCAAAAGGAAAGGGACCTTGGCTGACAGACATGGCTGGGGAAAAAAACCATTTCCTTAGTCAAAACATGCTGCCTCTTATATTCTTCTGGGGCCCCACATTTCCAGCAGCTCAGAGAAAATGGTACTCTCCCTCTCCCCCCAGCACCCTGCCTCTGGCATCTCAGAAGCCCCACCTGCAGCGATGAGGATGTAGGGGTCCTTCAGCAGTGTGGTTAGGGGTGTCCCTTTCTGACTCTGTCAAGCAAAAACAGGATTATGAGAGTCACTGGTATACTTCAGGGCCCTCACTGCCCAGCTCTTACCTCTGGCTGCACCCGGGATGGCTGGAGCACAAACAGCTGAACCGCTACAAGGGAAGAACACAGATGTCCATTCTCAGGACGCACACCTGGCCCAATCATGGGCAACATAGATGCCCAAGTCCCACCACCACGCTCCAGGACATCACTCACCTCCATCTAAGAGCACCAAGGCAGCCAGCACCAGGAATGGGGCGGTCTTTCCCACAAACTCATAAAGCACGCTCCCAAAGGGGGGTCCCACTGCAGGAAGAGAAAGGGTCTAGCCAGTCCTGGTAGACACATGCCCCTCCCCACAGGAGAACCTCCCTCCATTTATTCCTTGTGTTTCCCTCTCTGCTTTGTTCCAAAACAGACTGGAATGCATGCCCACTGTTTTATTTGTTGTTGTTGTTGTTGTTGTCAGTCATGGGTCTTGAACTCTGGGCCTGGGTTCTGTCCCTTAGCTCTTCAGCTCAAGGCTACTGCTCTACCACTTCAGCCCCAGTGCCACTTCTGGTTTTCTGAGTGGTTTATTGGAGGTAAGAGTCTCATGGACTTTCCTGCCTGGGCTGGCTTTGAACTGTGATTCTCAGATCTCAGCCACCTGAGAAGCTAGAATTACAGGCGTGAGCCACCAGCGCTGGGCCCATGCCCACTGTTTTATTCAGTTAGTATCATGTTGCCTTTGCAGCCTCCTTCTGGGGGGCTTTTCCCTGAGAAACATGGAGAACAAAGGCTAAAGGTCAGAGGACCTGAGCCAGGCCCTGGCACTGTGTTGCTTCCATAGCAGAATGGAGCAGGCTGGCTCCACCCACGCAGTGGGGGTGGAGGGCTTCAAGGAAGGAATGGCAAAAACAGTGAAAAGACCTGAACCTGCCTCGGGGAAGGGTTTGTCTCTGGCCTGAGATGTCAGCCAGGGCAGGTAGGAAGACAGCAGACCAGAAAGAAGGTTCTTACAGACTCAAAGTCAGAATTTTGGAGAGAGAGGAGGTCCAGCAGATCACCATGTTCAGCCCTGTAATTTATATCTGGGCCCAGGGAGGTTTGGCACAGAGACCATGGGGAGCCCTGGCCATTTTCCAAAACATCCACAAATGTAGGAAACAGAAAGGAGAGGGCTGGAGATTCTGTCCGTGTGAACAGCTCTACAGTGGCCAGGGCCCTGGAACTGGGCCCATCACTACTCAACGCCAGGCCCTGACAGGCCCTGCATGCATGGTGGCCTCTACCCACCTAGGACCCCCATGGCCAGGCCTCCCAAGGCGATGCCCATGGCGTTGCCCCTCTCTTCGTCATCTGTGTACACACTGGCAAGCATGCCCATCCCTAAATAGGAGAAGACACTGTCAATACCCAAGGCTCTTTGGAACTCCACAGACTCCATCCTTGTCCCCTCCCCTTCCCTGGACTCCCTTACCCCTCCCCCCCCCCCCCCCCGCGAGCCAGACCAGCATCTCACCCTGAGCTTGTGGACCAGCTGGTCTATGTGATTGGCTGAACCCCAAAGGAACATGAACACCTTCTAAAATCCTCCCCCCTCCAATACCTTGAGTGCCTAAATTTGCCCAGCTATTTTTGCAGGGGAGGGGGGTCTTCCTTGGTGTTGGGTGGTCTGCTCCCCCCCCCTCAATGGGGGTTTTCACACCTACCAGCCACAGAGGAACAAGAGGAGCCGATGCCCTGCAGGGACCTGGCGATCAGCAGGAAGGCGTAGCTGCTAGAGAAGGCGAACACTGCGAAGAAAAGAGCCACCCACCACCTGGAGGCCACGCCCCTGCGGGCAAGACCAGCCTGCCCAACAGGGGGATGTGTCTGCCCAGCCTGTCCCAAGAGGGGATGTGTCTCAAGTCCTCTGTTAAGTGAATAGGCAGTCACATTCATGGTTTCTGCCCAGGAAGCCCTTCCCTGTGTACCCTATAGGAACCCCCAAGTGTAGCCTGATTCCCAGCTGGTAGGAGGCACATCTCAGTGGAAGGTCAACATGCAGCACTTACTAATTGTAGAGATAAACATGATGCAAAATCCTGCAAACATGGGAATTGGATAGCCGATTCTGTAAAACACAAATGAAAATCTGGTGACTGTAGGGTTGTTGGTTTTTTTTAAGGCTTTAGATTGATTCTCCCCCATTTACCCTCCGGGATCAGATGGATAAGTGTTTGGTCGACTTTTCTAAAAATTCATATACTCATCGTTTCCTTTGTGACCTTTTAGTGTTTGACTGTCTTGGACTGTGAATACATTTACAGACTGCCACTCCGAACAGACATTTCTCTGGAATAAATGTTAACACAAAGCACATCCAAACCACACAGCCCTGATTTCTGTCTATTTTTGGTTATTACTCCTTTAATTACAGTCTTAGCTAGAATTCTCCCAAAGGAACGCTGAAATCAAATGACTGGTAAAAGGCTATTAAGTAATTCACCTGGCAGCAAAAAACGACAGCACTATGTGGAAGAGATGTTAGGAGGTAAGATTTTTAAATTTGCCTTCTGCTGATCCCTGGGAGACCAGCCTAGAAAGATGGACCTGTGTTCTGTGCAAGAGCTAAAAAATCAGCCAGGTGTGGGTGACTCACACCTGTAAGCCTAACTACTCAGGAGGGTGAGAGCTGAAGATCATGGTTTAAAGCCAGCCCTGTCAGGGAAGTCCATGGAATTCTTATTTCTAATTAATACACAGGGAGAGAGAGAGAGAGAGAGAGAGAGAGAGAGCTGTGACTCAAATGGTAGAGCACTAGCTTTGAGTTGAAAAAGCTCAGGGACAGTGCCCAGGCTCTGAGTTCAAGCCCCAAAACTAGCACACACATGCACACACACACACACACACACACACACAACCTAAACCACCCTATAAGACCACCACTTACACAGAGCTCTGCACCAGGCCAGTGGTGAGAAACCCTGGGTCTTCGAGGAGCCCAGAGCACTGAGGTATTATGGAAATTCCCCTGAGTCTCCCTCTCTTCTGTAAAATTGCCTGGATGAGACAGACAGACAGCGTGGTGCCTGCGTGAGCATGGCAGAGCCTCCTGGACACTCTGTGACACAAGGCAGGGCACACGCTGGCTAAGCTTCAGCCTGGGGTGGGTTTCCTCCTACCCAGAATAGCCTGGAGCTTTTCAGGCTGCTTCTCCTCTCCCAAGATGCCTAGAACCTGAAGAGAACCACCTGTACTCAAGATAGAAAGCCAAGCAGGCTGAGCCTGAATGGGCTCTTCTAAACCAGGCTAGTTGCCCTGAAACTAGCAGGCAGGTCGCTTTGGATCCTCTCCATACTCTGGGGAAGCGGGGAGGGAGGAGAACTTGTCCCAATCATGTGGTAAGCATACTGTGGGTCATGTGTAGCAACATAGATGTGGGGAGGAGCCCAAGTTTGAGATGAAGGATCCCATCCCCCTGGAAACCACAGCGCTGTGTGCCTACATGAGGGAATGAATCCCTCTGGGACCTTAGCCAGACAGGTGTTGAATAAGTGAATGGCAAGGCTGGAAGGAAAGACAAGCTGGTACCAGTCCACATCCTCCTCTTGAGATAAAGCAGCTCACCACATCTGCATGAACACCTGGATTCTCATGCTTCCCTCTCGTTGCCAGATACACAGGCCAGTACCTCCAACACTCGCCAAGCTCCGGCTAGGCTACCCAGAGGTCAACCTCAGGCAGGATCCTTCCTGGGTGCTCAGCCCCAGGACAAAGAAGATTCGGTGTTAGTCCTTACTGGGGCTCCAGCTCTGCCGTCCCTGTACACCTCCCTCAGAAGGGAACTGTAAAGTGTCCTCAGGGCACTGAGCAATGGGTCAAACACCACCACGAGGTATTCTTTCTTCCCCACAAAGTCTGCTAAATGGATGGGACCACAAAGGACATTAGTAATAAAGGTCTGAATTGGCCTTCTCTCAATTCAACACCATCTCAATTAAAGTATTACTAGCAGAAGAGGCTCTGATTCAACAAACCTTTAACCAAACACCCCATTGTTATCCCCTTCTGAGTCACCTTCCATAAAGCTTCAGGGAGCAATTAATCCAATTTGACTAGAATAAAAATCATACATTAAGCCCCCAGATAAACATGAGAAACAATAAAAGCTATGCCAATTACAGGTGCCTAATTGGTGGAGAAAACCTTTAGGTCCCTAAATGGTCCCTGGCAGGCACTAGTTTTTCTCTAAAGCTAACAAGGAGGTTGACCAATGCAGACTGGAATCTCAGCTTGCTAAGGCATCAGTTTCCCTTTATGTCAGTAAAGGACAAAAGCAAGAAACCCACAAGATACAAACCATTCCCAGATAAGCAAGAGTCACTGTCTGCTTTCCCTCATCTCCTAAAAGGTAAAGCAGGAAGTGAAAGATATTTTTAATTCGTTCAGAAATACAGAGATCGGAAGTCAATTTGTTAATGAACCTACAGTCTTGAGTTGGCTATGAGATCCACACAGGAGGCTCACAGGCCCTGAGTGTGTGTGTGAACTGGTGTGTGGCCTCAGGCCTGGGCCTGGTGTTAGTCCTGGACACACAGCTCCAGTGAGCTTCCCATCCCAGGAGAGTTGCTCTAAGTCCATGGCTGATGTCTCCTGATTTCAAAGCGAAGACACTGCCACCATCTAGAATGGAAGATCCCTTTCCCAAACAGCTGGTTTCCCTGTCCACAGAGAGGCTGAAAAGGTCACTGCTTATTCTTACAAAGCCTACTGCAGACCAACCCAATGGTGCTGGAGAGAAAAAAAAAAACAAATAAATAACCCTGGTAAATTTCATAGAGATTTCATGCCCTGTGGCTTCCTCCTTGTCATTCAGATGCTAGCAAAGATTTGTGAGGAAACATAACTGCTTTCAGATACATGAGGTAACTATGGAAATAAATTAAGCCAATGGCTGCTGCTGGCTTGATAAAAAGCAGACCCTCTAGACAGTGACAAGCTAAGGAGGAAGTCAAGAGAGAGACAGCCCGCAGCAATGGTGGTGACTTGCTGCAGGCAGCAGCTGATTGGGAGGATCTCTTGGTTCTAGAGATGCAACTACCACTTAAACTTCACACCAAGTAAATGAAGACAAGGATGTCAAGTCCTGAGCTGGGATGCAGCTCAAATGTATGAGTGGCCCTGGGTTCAACTATTAGCATAGGAGGAAGGGAGGGAAGAAGGTAGGAGAAGGGAGGGAGGGAGGAAAAAGGGAAGAAGGGAGGAAAAGAGAAGAAGGGAATAAAAAGGGGGGAGGAAAGAATGGAGGAGAAGGGAAGGAGGGAGGGAAGAAAGGAGAAGGAGAGATAGAAGAAGGATCAGGGAGGGAGGGGCTACATCTTTATCTGACTTACTGAAGAGAGAATGGTAATGATGTTTTCACATTGTTATCTGTCTGAAATACCCAATTTAGATACATATATACCTAAAAATTACCTACTGGATCAAAATGATGACACACCTGCTAGCTCCTTTTGAATGGATCAAATAGTTCCTAGTTGAACATTTCAACTAGAATTATAAAATAAGTCACACCAGCCCCAAGAAGGAAATTGAATTGACCAAGCCACCCTTAGTGGTTTATTGGATCTATGCCAACTCCATATTTCCAAATCAAAAGGTCCTTTGTTCCCTGTCTGGTAACGTAATTGCAGTGAATATACAGAACCTGGAAAGTAAATAAAACAAGAATAACATGTCAGCTTCTCAGCTGAACAAATACCCCCATGGAGCCAGAAGGTGTTATTCTGTGTCTTGCATTTGGCATGCGATCTTATCCCAATACTTAAAACAACTCGTAGAACCATCTGACAAAAGCCACTCAGCTGTCACTATCTTAAGCATGAACCCAGGGGTCAGGGTGAGACTTGTGTGATGTGGGGTATTTCATCTCTCACACACAGGTTCTCCAGGGGACTGACTTTGACTGCCTGACTCTAGGATGTGTTCCTGGGAATGGACAGGCCAGACTCACTCACATCAGAGCTGGGAAAAGACTGTATTCCTGGGGTCAGGGACACATGGAAAGAAATCTGATTCTTCCCCTTCCCTCCTGCCCCAGATTCTGTTAGCTAAAACTTTGTTTGTGCCTTTACCTGTCTGGCTTGGTTGGAGATAAAGATCCAAGAATATTCTTGACCTTCGTTCTTTATTGTGAATAGCCAAAAATAAGAACTCAGTAATAGTAGGAAGGAGGGGAAGAAGAGAACCTTGGACCGAGCCTGGACATGAGCTGCAGCTAGAAATAAATGTTTTTCCTCCTGATGCACAAACTCCTTCCTCCCTCAAATGCTAGGACTATCCCAGAAGTGTCTGGTGAAGTATGCACAGGCTTTGGTGCTCTCTAACCAGGAAGAGGGGAGCCAACTTCCAAATGCTATTGTTCACACTCATTTACAGCACTGAAAATGCAACTTACAGGTGATGTTTTAACTCTTGTGTGACCAGAAACATTCATCGACTTTCAAATGCTGTTTTTATTAAACATACTTGTTGACCAACCCTGAGGATGTGAGTCATACCTCTCGTTGGTATTTACAATGGCTCACAGAAAAGGTATAAAGATAGACTGTAGAAAAACATCATAGAAAGGCAAACCCCCCTTCTCTGATAATTTCCCTCTGAACTGAGAAGGAAAGCAATCTTCAAGTGCCCACAGGAGCCATAAGCCCCCAAATTCTTGTTGACTAGCATTAGAAAATATTAGGAAAATGACAAACCACCATTAAGGTGACCACCTATTGTCAACCCTAAAAAAGGTTTGCATTTCCCTATTACTCGACAGTGCTAGATACTGGAGATCATTGTTTTTTAATGTGCTGGATAGCTAGGAAAACCAGATAGATGTTCACATTTGATCCTAGATAATTTCCAAAATGGATCACCTACTGTAAGAATAGACTACATTTCACAAGCCACAAAGCAAAATGATGATTCCCTTGGAAGACAATCTTTTGGAGCCCAAGACATCAGCCTTGGGTGGCTGAAATCTCAAAGAAATGGGATATTTACTAAGGGAAAGGCCTTGCTGGTTCTTCCCGTGGTATAACCAAAGCATTCAAACCAAGAATGGCAGTGTTAAAATAAACAAAAAGCAGTTCTTTTGCGATTTGCATTTGGAAGACTGGAACAGTTATCTCATTTCAGGGAGTTTCTAAGTATTTCACAGTACCACTCCAGTCACTGGCGAGGCATTATTACAATAACGTCCTCAATTTTCCTGTGTAGTATTCGAGCTTGTTGGTTCTGTCAGAGTACAAAACCCTGAGCAGTTGTTCTGTAATTATACCAGATGCATTTTAAGAAGTGCTCTTAATTTGGGGTGGGGAGGAGAGAGAAAAAGAAAAAGAAAAACAACCCTGCAACGCCCAAGGGCTGTTTGGTTTTGTCCTGGAGAATAGAGAAGCCACAGAATGTCACCTCCATAATGACGCTTCTCTGTGGGTGCACAATCAGCTGTCCCCGGGTTAATTTGTTTAGTATGTTTGATGTGGCAGGCAGCCCTACACTACTGTTCTGCAGGATAGGAGGGCTGGCTTAGGCCTGCGATTGCTAACATGGATTCAATGACAGGCGTCCTTCATCTAACTGCAGCTAGAAATGTGTGCCCCCACCTCCCAGCACATCTGCAGCACCCTGATGTGGTCAAAAATGGCCAGTCATGAGGGAAGTTGAGATCTGCCACACCCTCTCTCTGAATGCCGGCCACCACCCCTGGCCAGGCCTCCACTCACTGAGCCCCAACCCCACAGAAACACGGGGCTCTACTCTCACACCAGCCCTTTCCTGGCTCAATGTTCAATCAATGCTGGCAATAACATTTGAAGATGAGGCCACATTTTCTTTTGCTTTCTGTTTTTCTGTGCTGCTACTTGGACTTGAATTCAGGACCTCAAGCTTCTGCTTGGCTTTTTCACTCAAGCCTGAGGCTCTACCTACCACTTGAGCCATCCCTCCACTTCTGGCTTTTTTTTTTTTTTGGTTAATTGAAGATAAGAGAATCTCTCTGATTTATCTGCCTGGGATGGCTATGAGCTTCAATCTTCAGATCTCAGTCTTCTGAGTAGCCAGGATTATTGGCATGAGTCACTGGCAAAAGGCAACATTTTTTACTTTGCATTGAATGGTCACAAGTCAGACAGTCTCTCTTGGTCCTCTCCCTCTGTTTGGCTCACTAACTCTTCTTCCTGGCCTTGGAATTTTAAGTTGCTCCACCATCACCCCCATCCTAAAACCTTATTCCTACCTGCTAAACACTAGGAGCCTTACAGCCTTGCCCAGCAGAGCCTTGCCCAGCCCTGCCTTTCCTAAGTCACCATACCTGCCATGTTCCTTCTCCCATCTCTCTAGTCTTTGTCTTTGCAGCTCTGGGCTTTCCTGAAGGCAGGATTCTAAACACACTCCTCTCTACCATTTTTACCTTTCTGTCTATGGAGTAACCTGGTTCATCCCACTCCTGTTTTGCAATGCTGGCTGTAAAAGAAGCTACCCTGGCTTTTGACAGTGGGATGAGAACAAGTCACATGACACATAGAATACCAGATGATGGCCCTGCTAGCTGCAGAGACCCTGCTGCCCAACGGCAGTTGTGATCAGGATGCTTACAAAATCTGGCATTTGGACAGAATCAAAGCCTTGTTCTGTTTACTCATTCATCTTTGCTGTTTTAGTACTTTCTAAGCCAGGGAGAGAAGAAAGGAAGATGGAAAAGCAGAACAAATGGAAATCTCGGCTACTGTGGGCACAGACATAAGGGTCAGGAGGTGGGGGGGGGGGTTGGTCCTAACCTGCCCGCCACTGATTCTCCACAGATGAGTGAGAAGCAGATGGCAAGGAATCATGAGTGAATCTAAATTTCTCCAACCCTATTCACCGGGCCTACCTGTTGGTCAGCAGCCCTATGAAAGGGTTGGTGAGGAGCTGGACGGTGGCTTTGGAGGCGAACAGCAGGCCGACTTGCACGTTTTCATTCAGGAGGTCTTTGTCTTCACTGGGACAGTCGGAAGGGGCGGTGGACGTGTTGGTCACCATGTGCAGGGTAGTGGTGGCTTTATGGGGCTGCCTCTTCAGATGGTCTCCGGTGCTGTTCCCAGTAACCATGGTGGAGTTGTCATAGTAGGAAAAGATGCTCTGGAAGCTTCCAGAGGTGGAGGCCAGGAGCGCTGGACTGGGCGTCTGGATTTCTGTCACATTTTTCTCATGCTTAATGCTGTACAGATAACTGGGAATGATGGGGACTGGGACAAGTGCAGAGCAAGACAGTGACAATCACATTCTACCTTCCCCAGAACAAAAGCCAGCCCAACTAAGGGTGCATCAAAAGCCGAGTGAGGTCAGAAAGCTGGCATGTGTGTCCCTGAAGCTGGCAGAGCCTGGTGCCAGGCACATGCACTGAAGCGACCATGCGCACTGGTTGATTTCACGTCACTTAGTAAATCAGGGGAACCAGCAAGGCCTCTGTGAGTCTCAGCTATTTTAAGGAGTAGCTGTTGTACTCCAGTGACTGGTCTCGGGGAATTGGGTCATTTGTCCTCAGGATCATGTCTGAAGAGCAAAAGCTGGCGTGAAGTCAAGTCTATCAGGGCTTCCTACAAAGGCTCAGAGCCTTTTCAATGAAGGAGACTGAAATCTAGATGTCAGTACACACCTTAGAAGGGAAATAAACAATTCTGTAGGACAGTAATACATTGGGAGTTCTGCAGCGGGCTAACTTTTCAAGCTATCTGTTATGTAAAAGAGAATCTGCAATGCTCCAGACAAGGTGTAAGACTGAAGAATTCCTTAGGGTTCCATGAAAGGAAAAGGAAAACTGTTTAATAAAAGAGAAGCATGTGCACGTGAGAAGCAAGGGCGAATTCAAGACAAAGGGGACCCAGGTCCTTCTTCCTGAGCCGGCAGGTGCCCAAACAGCCCTGAGCCAAGCAAGCTCTGAGAGCTGTTGTGCCACTAGCAGCCTGTGCTCACAGCGATGGAAAAACGACTGTGCTATTCATGTAAAAATAAAATCGGTACCTTTTAAAAGATAAAGCATGTCACAGGCTTTTCTGTCCAGGGGGCTGCTTTTGAATTGTTTTATTTTATTCAAAACTCCATTTGAGGTTAAAGTCTCACTCCCACCTGTTCCAATCGCTCCCTCCCCGCGTCTGTCACCGATGGGCTGCGTTTAAATACCACTTCTCCCCATCCCTCCCCCAAGGGGGGGTGGGCCTGGGGACTCCTGGCCTTTGGTCTTTGCACAGTTCGTATTCTAAAGCGCTACACTGGACTTGGAGAGCGGCCCCTCTTCCCCAGAAATCTCTTTCACTGTCGTGGAAGTGGGCAAAGAGAAGCCGAAATTATCAGGAGGAAACATAAGTTCTGGGTCTTATCGCATGTCAGTTTTTGACCTGGCCGCCAGGAAAGCCGAAGCCACAGGGCAGCTCCGCCGGGGAGCGCGGGCTGGGTTTTGCCCAGCGTGTACGGGTTTCCCGGCCGGGGCGGGCAGGGGTCGGCGGGGAGGGAGCCGGGCCGCACGTACCCACGACGGTGAGCAGCATGTTGTCCAGCAGCAGCGCGAGGAACACGATGAACAGGATGAGCTTCCTGGAGTGGCGGCCCTCGCGCAGCCAGCGGAGCGGCGCCAGCTCGCTCAGCGCCATGGC